CCCCAAAACCCCAAAACCCCTCATTATCAAAATATGATTTAAATGGTACCATAAATATTAATAAAATATAAATGAACATTCAAAATAGCATGCTAATGTGCTTTAGCTGCAACAAATTTTTCAATCTTTAAGATAGAAAGCCTATAGCACTACCATGTACAGATGCAATATGCATTCAATGCTACCAATTATAGAAGGAATAAATCTAAAATAACAAAATATACTGTCCATTTGACAACAATCATCAGTTTGAAAAAGATTAATAAGTTCAGGAATCAACATTCATTATGAGATAATTACAAAACTTTGATTTCTACAATATCAAATGCGATGATCATCCAAACGAAAATGCTAATGTTTACTGCAAAGATCTAAATAAAATGATTTGTGGTAGATGCTTGTCTATTGACCCTCATTCTCATTACATTACAGATAGAACCAGGCATTTTGAGTTTTAGAGAGCATTTCTAGAGGATTCGTTCTAAAAGATGATTCCAATTCTTAAAAAAGAAGTTATGAAAATAGAGAAGTTATTAGATAACTATCAGCAATTTATTTAGAAAGATAGAGATTTCACAGTCTCTTAAATCTAGGAAATGATTAAGTTAAATATGCAAATCTTATAGTATTCAGACATCAATGAATCTTTGATAAAAAAAATAAAAGATAGATTTGAAATACTTGATTTTATAATACCATTTTCGTAAGAAATTTGTTTTATTTAAGGATTTTATAGAGAAAATTATTGTTAAAAGTTTAATATAATTTAAAATGTTGAGGAAGAAAAATAGAATAATCAGGTTGGTGAGATAAAAATTCCTCAAAGTTTGGTTTTACATTAAGATAAGTACTTTGAATTTAGAAGGATGGTTGATTTAGAATTGCAGCAAGGAGTAGGAAATTTACTATCTTAAAATATAAGTAGATGTGATAATATATCATTTAAGCTTCAAAGCGTATTCTCTAAAAGCAGATCTTTGTATGGCAATAAAATTGGAGCAATGATCTTGTTTATTTTAAGCAATCATGGTGAAATATTTGGATCATATACTTCTTAATCAATTGAAATTGCTGAATAACACAAAACTATTCAAAAGATAGATGAAAGAATCTTTTTGTTTAGTTTATCAAAGAATAGAATTTTCAGATAAATTAAAGATTTTAATAAAGCGATTGTATGTGAATATGGTACTGACTTTAAGTTTGGAGATTATAGTTTTTAAATTAAGTTTTCCCATTAAGACTAAAAATGGTCTAATTATGCATTTATAGGAAGAACATTCTAGGGGTTAGATGGATTACATGAAAATGATGAAAGAAATTAAATATTTTTATCTGGGGGTAAGAGTTTTGAGATTTTAGAGGCAGAAATTTATAAAGTACAATTCTCTTGATTTATATTTCTTAGAGAATGATATTTTCTTAATTTTCTATTCTTTATTTTATAAAATAATTGATTTGAAGAAGACTGGGGTTTTGGGGTTTTGGGG